CCCGGCCCGGGGGTGGGACGGGGCGGGGCGGTCCGGCCCCGCTCTGCCTCGTCCTACCCGCCGCTCCCCCGGGCTCCGCTCCCCACCGCGGCACCGGACGCCTGCCGCCCCCCCGGGCACGGCCGGGAAGGTGGGGGGACACCCGGCAAAGGTGGCTGCGCTCCTGGATGCGCCTTCCCTCGGCGGAGGTTTGGGGTTTGTTTTGGGTTTTTTTGGCTTTTCACCCTTTTTCTCTATACCCGACACCGCGATGGTGTTCGGTGGGGCACTAATTAATTAATTCCAACCATTCCAATCCAGTTTCTGGGCTGCACAAAGTTAGACCCAAGAAAACGGTACGTTTTGGTGTCGGTGCCAAACGCCCGTTCAATCTCAGCTGGAGGCTGAAGGGGGATTTTATTTTATTTTTTCCTCCTCCTTTATTTTTTCCTTCCTTCTTTCCTGTTTGGCTTGGAATAAACACTATCTCCTTTCTTATCCCTTAGGCTGCAGTAAGAACTGCAGTCCTTCCCGGAGAGACTTGTAGTAAATAATAACATTCGGATTTCTTTTGAAAAAAAAATAAAAAAAGAGAGGATTCAAACCGATAAAGAACTGCAAAGAGGATGGGAGCGATGCCAGCCCTGCAAATATGTGTGCAGGGGATGGTAACACGTGTAGGAAAGATCTCCCCAAATATTCCCCACACTTTGCAATTGCTAATCTCAGTCTCACCTGGATGGGAGTTTGTTCCGTGGTTAATGTGGGTGGGTTTTTTAGCTTAGGTTTTATAATTTTTATACAGGAAAATCCTTGCTGCCTCTAGGTAGCTACCTGAGGCATTTTAGCAACTGGATTTTTACTGTCACTAGGACTTCTCCTGAGCTGTTCTTCACACATTTATTTCTTATTTTGGATCTGAGAGATTTTGCTCTGCCCTGAGACCTCATGTTACTGTCAGCTGTCTTCTGGCCAAGGTTTCCTCCCTTCCTGACCAGCTGTTCCTGCTCACCAGGTGATGAAAATGACCTGGGTTTGCACCTATGCTAACAAGGGGGCTTTCCTAGGGAAAAACCCCAGATAAAATGCAACCACTTTGTTTACAAAATACTTGAATATTGTGTTTTGATAGCACTACCACATTTAAACTTCCCATTTTGCCATTATTGCTTTTGTGATTAAGCATTTTGTTCAGTAGAGGTGGGAGGAAAGTGTCCAGAAGTATCACCAATTTCCAATCTCTCATTCTGCTCAAGGCAACTAATATCACATGCGGCCCTTAAGAAAAAAAAAGTGGCTCCTATTTTAAAGTGTCAGTTGTGTCCCATTATAAATACTAAACCCAAATAAAAATAAAATAATTAAACCAATAAATCACAAAGTCAGTAGCTGTGGGAAATAACAGCAGATCTCAAGGACAAAACGAGTGGAACAAAACCCAGGAAAATATATCAGACCTAATCAAAAAGCCCATTGAAAGGAGTGGAAAGTCTCCCATGGACAGTCAAGGGCTTAATGTAATAGGTCGGATATGGACCATTTAGTGCCAATGGCTATAGTTAGAAATAATTTCCACTCTGGTAATCCAGGAGTGATTCCGTAGCATCCACTGTCTCAACTGCTGTAAATCTAAGCTAATTTACCTGAATAGAATCATAGAATCATAGAATCATTCAGGTTGGAAGAGACCCTTGGGATCATCAGTCCAACCATCTACCCTACTCTACAAAATCCTCCCCTACACCATATGCTGCTGCAGCTGGATATGGGGATTTGGGTTCCTGGGTTTTTTGGTGTTTGTAGAGGAAATAATTCTGATTTTTTTTTTTTTCCCATTGAAAACATTAAAAAATGACTGTCCAGTTCTCTGGAGTGCCTGGCAATTTCAGCTGGTGTGAAAGGCCAATGATGTTTTTAGCAGGAAGACAGTTAGAAAAGTTTGTGTAACTTATATTCTCACCATGCCATGCATTGTCCCCTCCTGGGTGATGGTTCGACCATAGAAGGAGGCTGAAAAATTGGCTGTTTCCTCGGGTGACAGGACCAAATCTTTTCCAAGCAGTAGAAGCTGAGTGTCTCTGGAGTCTGCAGTCTCCTGCCTGTGAAAGGATGACGATGGTGGGACACCAATTAGCTCAAAGAATCACATCATAGATATGAAAACGTACCAGTAACTTTCCATGAAGAAAAAAAAGCTAAGCCTAAGCTGCAAGGAACATGGTTTAGCTGCTTCAGCACAGACAAGACAATATTTCTAGCATCACCAAATCATGGGTTCTAAGAATTAGAGCTGTTGACAGATTTTCAAAATGTTTTGACAACTCATTTCACTAAGATTTTTTTTACTTAGTCTTAAAAATTTGTCACTGTTTTGCAAAAATACTCTTTTTTTTTTTTTTGGTTATAAAGCTAGGGGAAAAAAAAAAAAAGAAATGTCCATCTATTTTTTTCATTAAAGTCTTGCTGAAAATGTATGGTCCTTTCCAAAGTAAATAACTCCTGGAAAAGCTCCATTAGCTGGATACAAATCCTCCACAGCTACAGGATTTTGGCTTAAAGGAAGGTCATGGTTTTGGTTAATCTGATCCAGACACCAGAATTTGGGGAAACATCCTGAAGCTGGGACATCTGCCTGGGGAAAACTCCTCAAGGCAGCCATTTGGTTGAATAAATGATGCTTTTATCAATTTGCTTGATTCATTGAATCAAATCTCCAGGCATTTGGTGAAAATATCACCATCTTCAAAACCATTTGCTTGGGATTTTTTTTCAAAAAGCTGATGGTCAACTCTATGTGGGGTTTTATGCTAAAATTGGACCCCTCCACTGTGGGTGCGTTGTGTGCACGGCGCCAGCCATCTTGTTTGCCAGGAGGCTGCTGTTTGTGAAAGCAATTATTTTAATAATCAAAAGCGATGTTTACATTATTAGCTTGGTTGTTTAGAGTGAAGCTCGTACAAAGAAAGGAGATGCATTCATTACATGTTCAATTAAACCATTGTCTGAAAATAGGCCTTAACGCCGAACATCATGTCTCATTATTAAACAATAAAGTTTATTATTGTATTTTAAAACTTAAACAGCCCAGTTATTGTTATTCCTTTCAAAGGAACAGTTCTTTTTTTTCCTTTTATAGGTAAAACCTTTAAATTCTCAACCATGTTTTGCCCATGTGACTTACAAGCAAGTCGCAAGACCACTTCTTTTGACTTCAGGGATTCCAGGAATGGAATTCTTGGTTTCAATACAAGCTTCACTCCTACATGTCCCCACTGACTTTGCAATGACTATCTGCTGAGAGAAAACAAAAAAAAATCAAGTATGAAATTTAGGAGCTTTTTTTACCACTACATTGGCATGGAAATGTCTAAAGGAATTGCTTGGAAGTGTCTCATGGAATTTGAATGCAAAGATGCCACAGAGTCCCTGACCTGAAATCTGCACCTGGTTGGGAGTAGTCAGACATGTTTTCGACCTTGACAGTGACAAAAGACAAATAGATTTGTAACTGTTACTGCAGCTGGGACTAATGTGCAGGTGGTTTTTTGTACTGCTCGTTATACAGCCCAATGTGGTTTAGGTTTTGAACTGTAACACATGCAAAGGAAATCGGTTTCCTTTGAGCAGCCTTATGGTTAGCAGGGATGCTCAACAAACTGCACAGGCAACGAGATGGTCCTCTTATCATAGAATGGTTTGGGTTGGAAGGGACCTTAAAGATCATCCAGTTCCAACCCTCGGCCATGGGCAGGGACACCTCCCACCAGACCAGGTTGCTCAAAGCCCCATCCAGCCTGGCCTTGAACCCCTCCAGGGATGGGGCAGCCACAGCTTCTCTGGGCAACCTGTTCCAGTGTCTCACCACCCTCACAGGAAAGAATTTCTTCCTAAAATCTCATCTAAATTTCTCCTCTTTCAGTTTAAAACCATTACCCCTTGCCCTATGGCTCCTCTCCCTGATCAAGAGTCCCTCCCCATCTCTCCTGTAGC